ACGACTCGCGACCTGGGGACAAGACCCCCAAGGAACTGTACAGACCGGAAGGCTTCTCACTGTGGCGTGGTAGGCCCGAACTCCAAGCTGTGGCCTGCGCATCCGGCTGTCTAAGACTTGAGAGGGCTCTGCTGATCACGTCGTCATGTCTGCGACGTTAAAGAATTCCTGAGGAGTTATGGGGGGATCTCCTTAAATGCCTCCTGATCAGCCAGTAAGTCCTGTAGTGACAGCCTCGGGTAGTTAGCACAGAGCCAAGTAGTTGACAGGGTGTCAATCTGAAGCAAAAGCCAGGTGGGTTTCGGTGACAGTGGTGGCGAAAGATTCCGTCGGCTGAGGAAAGTTTCAGTGACAGTGGTTGCGTAAGCATCCGTCGGCTGTGGTAACCTGGCTGAGCTGAAGAGAGACCTCTGTAGTCCTTTAGAGAGTCGGGTGGGGAGGTCTACGTGTCGAGGAGCGGAATTGTCCGTCATTGTGCCCTGTCAACATGGTGACCGCCTGGGCCGGAACGAGCACTACCCCCTACAGTAAGGAGCAGGAAGAGAAGGCCGCCGCTATTTTACACGAGAAGACGGAGAGGATGGAGAAGAGGGAGTTAATAAAACAAGCGAAGAAGTTAGCGCTGCTGGAAGAAGAGGCGGCGAAGAACAGACACATGGAGGAGGAATTGGAGAAATGGAAGAAAGAGCATGAGGAGAAGTTGGCTGCAGTTGAGGCCGAAGAAGAGGAAGAAGAGGAGGAAGTGGAGGCCGAAGAAGAGGAAGAAGAGGAGGAAGTGGAGGCCGAAGAAGAAGAGGCCTTGTTGAGAAGAAGGGGAGAGGCCAGTACCCGTGCTCTCCCATCAGAGGAAATAGAGAAGGTAGTTAGAGACTGGGTGGTGACATTGTCATTGGGGGAAGACAAAGAAGCAGAATGGATAGTACCCCAGGCAGAGAAGGATGACTGCGACTTTCTCTCTTTTCGTGGCCAATAATGTTCAGGGCCTGCATTGTGGCCAGGATATTATCATATATTTCACTCGCGTTTGGTTAGGTCTTCCGACATGAATCGAAGCCGAAAGTTGTTTGTAGTATTATTCTGCATAACATACTTTGTTTTCAAGTTTTTTCCTTTCCGTACGCGTACGCCAGAATTTTGAGCACGTACGAGTACTCCGGAGTACGTATGCATACTCCGACGTCCGTACGACTACTCCAGAGTATGTAGTATGTACGCATACTCTGGAGTACGTACCCCTACGTACGCGTACAGGGTGCTACCTAGAGAGATACATACAATCCAACTCTTAAAATCACTTGAATATTCTGAGCAGTTGATGAAGAGTGCGATGTGTTTTCTTTTTAAGAGAAAAAGGAAATCACTTGAATATTCTGGGCGGTTGATGAACACTGGGATGTGTTTATTGCAAAAAGAAAAAGAACATCAGTTGAATATCTGAAAGAGAAAAGGGGAAATATGTTATGATTCTGGTTGTTCGTTGCCTGAAGGTCAACACTCACTCACATAGACTTCTGCACATGCCCATACATACACAGAAGGAAGGGGAGAGGATAGGAGTATCACACCGCACAGGGAGAAATAAACACAGCGGAAGACTTGACCATGCGATATGACAGGGTACACTGAAAGTGCAATTCACTCCACTCAATCCTCACAACCAGTCATAGAGAAAAGCCGAGCAGATCACATCCAGAGAACAATGAAACGATGATAGTCCAAACACAGTATTACACTGTTTATTAAACTCAGAGTCTCGAATTGTCAGGATAACTTCAGTACTATAGTGCGCTGCTCAGATATGAGCAGCGCTTCACTCCCCAACCCTGATTAGCACCCGAAACACCCCCTGAGCCCTGAAACACCAAGCGCCACCCAAATACAACCTCCTGGGGGCAGCGCCACCCTGAAACAGGCCTCTGAGGCCAGGCGCCACTCAGAGGATGAAGAAGAAGACCAGCGCCACAGTATCTGATGACGACGAAGTGTCGGGAGGCTTCCGGGGKGGAAGCCTGCAGCAGCGCCACCAAACCCTGACAAGATGACCTCTGAGATGAAGAAGCTGCAGCTATGGCTGCAGCGCAAACCCTCGGGGACCCCACTCCGGAGGAGGGTCCAGCAGGGCACCAATCTCTCTCGCCTCCCAGCAGACCTCGATAACCCAGACCTCTGTCAGCCCCTGCGTGCTGGCAGAGTACAGTGCAGGTCCCAGCTATAGCCTGCACTCCGAAGGTCTGGCTATGCCCGTCTCCTTCCACGCTGAGCCGTTACCACCTCCGGTTCACGCGTAGCGCAGCCGCAATGTACTCGGTACCAACTGCCAAAAGCCCTGAACCGATGTGCCCATCCTACTTCTAGCCTACACCGACCTCAACCGGACTGACTGACCGACCGGTACCGTATCTGTTTCGGCCTCTCGGCCTCTACCGGACCCGGCTATAGGCTATAGGACCGTCTATTCAGAATAGGCCCATAGGGCCTGTCGGTCTAGGGGTAGCCCGGGCCTGCTATCCGCAGTTAGGGTAGCTGTAGGGAATCAGGTTAGTACCGGGCCTGTATTTTCCCGGATTTGCAGATATGTCCCTCGAGAATTTCCCTCACAGGTAGGTCTCTCGGTTAGTCCTCAGCCAAACAAAATTACGAATCTGTCCTACCTACAGTACAGCCTCGACAGAGAGAGGCTACAGGCGACCAGAAAACAGCAAGTCATTGCAAATACATGTCTCTAGCTGCCACTAACATCTGGGATGTTGACCTCAGGGCCTACTCACAATTATAGCACTTTCCTAAACATATCAGACTGCATTTACGAACACACCTGGATGAATGTGGTCGCAATCAAGTCCAGAGCTTGGTAGAAAAGGTCCTTGCGTGAGTACGCCCTTAGAAATCTACAGTCAGTATGTCTTAACCCACCAGTACGTTTCGCAGCTAGAAAATCAAAGTCGTGGCCTGCATGCTGCCGCGACTCTCCGGAAGCACCGGGGCGCCGTTTCGCGGCACATCCATCCAGGCAAAACGGGTTGAATGCGAGGCCCGCTTTGCCTGCCAGTGGATGGATGTCCAGCAAAACGGCAGCCCGATACTTTCCAGGAGTCGCGGCAGCATGCACTTTGATTTTCTAGCTGGGATACGTACTGGTGGTTTATGGTTTAAAAATTCAGGCAAGTGGGACCTGGCCCCTGGACACAATCTCCTGTACAAAAGTCCACTATGTGCTGAAAAAGTACAGCTGCTAGTTATTAAAGGCACCCAGAAAAAGTACAGCTGCTGGTTATTATTAAAGGCACCCAGAAAAAGAGCACAGCTGGTAGTTTTTCTAAATTCTTCTAATATCCACAGATTCATTCCTTTTCATTCTTTTATCTTTTTTTTCTTTTTAATCATTATCGTGAACCTGACTGCCCCCAGATAAGTCAGACATTTCATTCAAGTAGTTCATGGGTCTACCAACTGAGCTCAGCACGTTGGTAATTCATTGCCTTTTTTTTTTTTTTGCAAATTTCAATCATCCTGACCCGTAGGACATGCATTAATTCCTACAGATCGTCTCTTTAACCTTCGTTTCTTTTTTCTTTTTTAATTGTTTTTTTTTTTGCATTTTTTTTGCATTTTTTTGGTCAAGTCCCTTTCCACCTCTCCACCACCTCAACTAAGCAGACTGTGAAGACATAGACAGGCAGCGGGGAGGCTTCCCGTGTCGCAAGAACCATTTTCTTGAGTGAGAGCAAATTATCAACAAGGGTATATAGAGTGATAAAACTGACTGTTACAATAGAAAGGAAAAAAAAAAAGAAGCAAAACTAATGAATATTATAGGTTTCTAAAAATAGAATAGAGAAGAAATTACATCAAGTTGAACCGGGCATTTTCCTCAAGAAAAGCGTCAGGAATATATCAGAACAGTCCTTTGGGACATCCGTTCCAATTGGAACCATGCTAAGAAGATTAATTACCATGGGCCCAGAGCAAGGAGATGACACATAAATCGAGAAACGGTCCCAAAAAAAAAAAAAAAAGGCCGAAACCAAAGAAAGAAAAGAGAAATAAATAAATAATTTAAACTAAATAAATAAATAATTTAAATAATTTAAATAAATAAATAATCGAAATAAATAAAATTTAAAATAAATAAATAATAATTTAAATCAGGGTTGCCGGCGTTCGGGACGGGACGAACGCCCCAACGTTTGGCACCCCCTCTCGACGCATTCGGCCGTTCGACCGAACGCGGATCCAAAAAAAAAAAAAAAAAAAAAAAAAAAGGGATTCCAAAAAACCTGAATAAAATATATGTTATGCAGAAGAATAAACTAAACAACATTTGCACCAACGTTACATCCAAATTCTTTACCAAATTTGAAATAAAATTAAATACTAAAAATAAATAATAATAATGAAAATTTAAAAAAATAAAACGAGAATGAAATTATTGAGTGGCCGAGCACGTTTTTGACACTTGGTGATTTTTCATTTTGTTTTGGCTGTGACAAATGCCATGAAAATTTATACATATGTATCTTACATAATAGAGAATCTACAAATAAAGTTTGAAAAAATAATAATTTTTTTCATGCCCCAAAATAAAGGAAAAACAACAAGTGAAAAGAGAGAAGAAACAAATTAGTGAGTGGGCAAGCAAGTTTTGACACCACCGTCTTTGAGGATTTTTCTTTTTTTTTTGGCTGAAGAGAATGGCTTCAAAATTAAGAGGAAGATTCCTTACATCACAAGGAACGCACAAAATAAAATTCAGAAAACAATAATAATATTTAGGTGTCAAAACATTTTTTTGCCGGGTCCGAACCCCTTCAAGTTTGGGCCCCCTACGGGGACCCGAACGCCCGAACGTTCGGGGGTCAGCTTAGGGGCCTCCGTACATTCGGCCTGGCAACCCTGATTTAAATAATATTTAAATAAATAAATAAATAATTGAAATAAATAAATATTACATAAGTAAATAAATAAATAAATCAGAACGGCAACGGGATCTCCATACTCACCTTATTAACAACACTATCTGGGACTAATAGCCCTGCATCCATATAACCCTTGGCTGTCTTTCCATTGGGTGTTCCTGCAGCCACCTCGGCGCGCAGCAGGTCGCCTGCAGAGATATGCACCAAACCAAACTGTAGTGATTGAGTCAGGTACAGATCAATCATATGTAGCATACGATTTTTTTTTATTTATTTATTTATTTTTTTTGGGAAGAAGCATAGGATTCTTTTCTTTTCTTTTCTTTTCTTTTCTTCTTTTTTTTTTTTTTCTTTTCTTTACATTTTTCAAAAAAAGGCGTCAGCCTTGAGATCTCATTTATCAAAAACAGACCTTCCCCAGGTAACTCAGAAATATGTTATGCATCCGAGTCGATCAGGATTCGAACTTAGGGTCTGTTTATCAACAGCTCCTGAGTGTACCAGTTAGCCACCGCATGGGCTGGATTCCAGCACAGGACGGTCATCAAGTGAAACAGGAGGCACAGAAAGGGGGGAAGCGCTGTGTCTACTTTTTCAACCCATTAGTACCCTTCCAAGGGGTAATAAGGGTCTAGACGGAGGAGGAAGGTGAGGAGGAGGAGGGGTGGCTGGACAACTTGAAGGACCGAGCAGATTCGAAACCAATAGGGGGAGGAGGAGTGGCAGGATGGAAGCAGGAGGAGGAGGAGGAAGAGGAGAGGATGGACAAGGACCAAGCAAATTTCGACAGCCAGAGGAGGAAGAGAAGGAGGAGAAAGAGGAGGAGTGGCTCGACAAAAGCAGGAGGAGGAGAAGGAGGAGTGGCCAGGGAGGAGGAGTGGCTGGATGAAAGCATGATGAGGAGAGGGCCGAGAGGCTAGACAAGGGCCGAGCAATTTCAAAAGCCGGAGGAACAAGAGGAGCAGGAGGAGGAGGAGGAACAACAGGAGGAGGAGGAGGAGGAGGAGGAGGAGGAGGAGGAGGAGGAGGAGTGGCTGGTTAAGGACCGAGCAATTTCGAAAGCAGGCGGAAGAGGCGGAGGAGGAGTCTCAGAAGTGGCTGGGGACAAGGACGGAGCAATTTCCAAATCATTTGTAGATAAAGAACACCAGAAAAGCAGAAAAAAGGACCAGACTTCCCTGGTGCTAATGTTTGTGCTCAAAGCTAGCACGCAACTGGCCGTTTTGCTGGCCAGGTTCATGCGTACTTTTAGCTCAAACATCACATCAGGGGAATGGCGCTCAGTCGCCACCATGGGAATCCAGGAAGCTACCATGCACAGTCGGGCCAACTGCACCATGGAAAATGTCGAAAAAAAAAGTGGCCAGCCTTTAGTAGCCTACAGCCCTCTCTTGGACAGTTGGGTTGATCAGGCAGCCAGTGCAGGCTGCACTGGCTGAACAGGCAGATGCCCTGAGGATACCCTCCCATATTTTCTGACTACATGTACTATACAGTGCGAGGGACGCTGGACCCACTTTCCAGCAGGTGATGGTCCACACAAATAGCGCGGAGCCATCCCCTAGAGTGCTAGTGGCGTCTGCTCATACCAGCAACGCTAGCACTACCAGTGGAGGTTCAAAAAAGCGAAAAAAAAAGACTTTTTTTAGCTTCTTTGACAACATAATTGTGCCATTATTGTGGTCATATACATGCAGGTCCAGCCGGAAATGCGGTCAGATAAGTTCAAGAGAGAGCTAGTGGTTCAAGATAGAGCTAGTGTGAGTACACCCTCAGTCTTCTTTTTCACGTCGGGGACTTCGGTGTATGAAGGGTACACATCTACAGCTCTTGACCAGCTGGGGCGAGGTCCCACTTGCCAGGGTTCTTTGTTTCTGGTCATCAAGCTTGGTAAGCAGCGGACAGAAACAAAACAACCAGGTCCCAGTCGCCTGGGTTCTTCGTTTCTGGTCATCAATCTTAGCAAAATCTACGGCCAGAAACAAGGCATACAGGTTCTAAGTGGGACCTCCCCATAGATTATGAATTATCCAATATTATTCCAAATCCTGTCAAACAAGAATCCTCTAGTTTATGTTAAAAATAAAAAAAAAAGAATCCTCTAGTAGAGACTCCCGTGTAACGGAAGGCATGTGGTGGTGTGAGGCCCGGCGACTGAGGAGGTGCCAGGGGGACCCGCCCTCCCCCCTCCCTCAGGAAACACGCCGAATGTGTGACTGGGTACATAGGTCTGTTTCCTGGCCATTAGGCATGCCCTGGGATAGGGGAGGTGCGCCCCCCCGGGGCACTCCCCCAGCCCCTCCGTGGAGTGTCTAGGGCAGCAGGGGACTGGGCTCTCTTGCTCTCTCCTTGAACAATTGATTCCCACAATCTGTGAGGGAAGCTGGACCCGTTTTCCAGCAGGTGCTGCTCCCCACCAATCGATTGCAACTCTCTTCTTCTTCTTTTTCTTCTTCTTCCCCCCCCCAAAAGAAAAAAGAATTCTCTCTCTCTCTCTCTCTCTCTCTCTCTCTCTCTCTCTCTCTCTCTCTCTCT